TATTTGCAAAGCCAAAGGAGCGCCTCTACTGACAGTCAAATGGGTTAAATGGACTAAAGACGGACAACTGAAGGGCTTGGACTGGCCCAACCATATACTCGACACTAACGGCACTCTTGAATTCAACCTGGTCAAAAGGTATTGTTATTCATATGTTTATTATAGTTATCAAACTATACCCTATAACCATTTAAACATATGCTGTAATACAGTATAAATAAACGTTTAATACCTCTTTATATAATTGTTTGCTTGCGTTAAAGTGGAGATTCTAGAGTGTGTACACATCGGCGGCTATTTTATAGGGTGTGTCACGTATTTCTTGTAACCACTAGTTTCATAGTTATGCAAAATTGAATCATGTTATAAATTAGTTTTTTTCTATGAGTGACAGGTATTACCAATAGTGTTAACATACTTTAATTAATGAAGGAATTATGCTGGACAAAATAGTTGTTTGAATTTTAAAAATACCATATTTTCGTAATTTTTATATTACGGTATATTAAAATAACGGTAAAATCAAATTCTATGGCCAAAGAAAAAGAATTGTGTGCTATATATATACGTCTAGTCATTGGTGCCCAACAATCTATTTGCTTTAATTTTACTTTACGTTATACAACATTATATTATTAGACATTGTCTATAAATATAATTTATAATTGTAATTATTTTTTGCCGGACAGGGAGGACGCCGGCAATTATACCTGCATTGCAACTAATTCTCAGGGCATTATCAACACTAGTATAGAAGGTATTTATGATTATTTGTAGAAATCATATAATGTTGAAACTTTTAATTTGTATTTGAAGTGTTGGTAACTGTAAAACCCAAGTTCACAGTCGAACCCAAACCTCAGACGATTGTTGAGGGCTTTTCAGCACTTTTAGATTGTAGGGCTGAGGGTAAGTGATTGTTATTTGTTGCATATCTTATAGCAATTAATCAATTTATAATTGATTTAATGGTTGAGCCCATGATATATTCAATTTAATATACAAAAAACTTTAATCAAATTAATGTATACAAAAGCTATTATTATAATAAAGTTAGTCAATGATTACGTAAAATCTTTTTAAATTTAGGTTTTAGCAATGTTTAGGCAATAGAGCCCAAAGTGTTTACTAAATATTAAACATTTTTTGTATTAATATTTTTAAACGCTTCATAAGAGCTAATTGTAAAGAATTTGATTGAATTTATGTCTAATATATTGTAAATAATTTCAAACAAGTCGTGATAATAGCCTTTGGCATAAACTCTCTGTTTGAATATAAAATCAATTTTCAGGGCTTATTGTATAGTAACTGTTCATTGAATTGAAGAATAAAAAAGACATTAATCTAATGT